CTCATGCTTGATCCCAACTTCATCACAATAGGCTTCTATGTTTGTGTTGTCAAATTCTTTCTCATTGTTGCTTCTTATCTTCTTTAGCTACATTTCAAACTCATTTTGTGCTCTCTTGGCAAACTTCTTGAAACATGATGCAACTTTGGATTTGTCATAAAGGAAGAATACCCATGTGTATCTTGAATAGTCATCAACAATCACAAGACAATAAAGATTTCCTCTCAAACTCTTGTATGTTGTTGGTCCAAATAAGTCCATGTGAAGGAGTTCTAACACTCTTGTGGTTGACATGAAAGCTTTTGTTAGATGAGTATTTGCAACTTGCTTGCCGGCTTGACATGCACTACAAAGCTTGTCATTTTCAAACTTCACATCCTTCAACCCTCTCACCAAATCATTCTTCATTAGCTTCTTGAGTGAGCTCATCCCAACATGAGCAAGTCTTCTATGCCATAGCCACCCAAGTGTTATTTTAGTGAATAGACAAGTCTTCAAATTAGCATCTTCGGAGGTGAAGTCCACTAGATATAGGTTGTTGTATCTAAATCCTTTGAATATCACTTGATCATCATCCTTCTTAGATACAATAACCTCCTTATCGGTAAATAAGCATTGGAAGCCAAAATCACACAATTGTTCAACGGATAGCAAGTTGAAGCTCAATGAAGCAACATATAGCACATTTGAGATAGAATGATCATTTGATATTGCCACTTTGCCCAATCCTTTAACCTTGCCCTTTGAATTATCTCCAAATGTGATTCTTTTTGTCCATCTACTTCTTCATCTAGTGAGGTGAACATACGAGGATCACCGGTCATATGTTGTGTGCAACTACTATCAATAACCCAATGACTTCCACTGGTCTTGTAGTTCACCTACACACAAGAGATCAAGCTTTAGTAGCTCACTTTGAAGATGCTTGCCTCTTGTGAACTTGCTCAATCCAATTTTGAGATGCTCTTTCTCAAATTTGAGCTTCTTGTTCTCTTCCTTGAGTGCATCATTATTTTTCTCTTCCTTGAGCTTGTTATTCTCTTCTTTGAGCTTCTTATTCTCAAGAATCAAATCACCATCATGATCAAGAGTTTCTAGCACAATAGTGTTGTGAGATTTGATCTCTTCAAGATCTTTCTTGAGCTTTTCATTGTCATTCTTGAGCTTGACATACTCATCATAATTATTGGTCTCAACCACTTGCTTGCCCTTGCTACTAGAACTTTGCTCAATGCTCTCAATGATCAAATCATCACATGATGTAGCTATATCAATCTTAACAACATTGTTAGTAGCATCATGTGGCTCATTGGATAAATATTCTTGAGCAATGATAAGATTATCATGATTAATCTTAAGAGTAGTATATTCATCTTTTAGCATGGTGTGGCTAGTGATGAGCTCATTGTGTATCCTCTCAAGTTTATCATGTTTATCTTTAAGCTCTTTCTTAAAAGATTTGAGTTCCTTGAGTTTGGATGATATAGCATCATTTGCTTCTCTAAGCTCAACACTAGTCTTTTCCGCTACATCACATTTAGCTAAAAGAGAATCATTCTTAGCTTCTAGCTTATCATTCTTAGCTCTAGTCTTTCTAATGATCTTAGTATATTGATTTAGCAATTTAACAATATCATCATAAGAAGGTGATTCATATTCATCATCATCACTATCACTATCATCATTGCTAGCATTTTCATCACCACTACTATCATCATTGTTTGATACCTTTCGTTCACCTTTGGCCATAAGGCATAGGTGCGTAGAGGATGATGGCGGTAGTGTCGATGAAGATAATGAAGAGTCAATCACAATGACGGCTACCTTCTCATTATCACTATCATCATCGGATGAGCAACTAGATGAATCAATGTCCGTGAGCCAATCACCGACGATGTATGCCTTCCCACTTTTCTTCTTCTTGTGGAAGTCCTTCTTCTTGCCATCTCTCTTCTTGTATGGCTTGTTTTTCTTCTTCTCATCTTCTTCTTCATTACTTGAGTCATCTTTCTTGCCCTTGTACTTGTTCTTATACTTGTCTTTCTTGGGTTTTGTGCATTGGTTTGCTAGATGACCAAGTTCTCCACAATTATAGCAATTCATCTCCAAGATTGGCTTCCTTCTAGAGCTAATGAAGACCTTCTTTTTCTTACCATCGAACTCGATGCCACTCTTGTTAAGCTTCTTTAGCATCTTGGCGGTTCTTCTCACCATGAGAGCAAGACTTGCATCATCAATTTCATCATCACTTGAGCTCTCATACTCAAGCCTTGCTTTGCCTTTCTCTTGGCTAGCTTTGAATGCTAAGTCTTTTTCTTTCTTCTTAGTAGAGGATGAGCCATCTTGTGGTGTGATGTGCATGTACATCTCATGAGCATTGATCTTTCCCAAGATTTATGTTGGTGTAGCGATGGAAAGATCACCTTGATGAAGCACGATCACAATATGCCCATATTTATCAATGGGGAGGACACTCAAGATTTTTCTTACAATATCGGATGGTTGCATTTGAGTGAGTCCAAGCCCATTGACTTACTCTACAAGAACATTCAAACGTGAGTACATCTCATTAGCACATTCTTTAGGAAGCATCTCAAAAGAGTTAAGCTTTTTCATGACAAGATGATAGTGTTCCTCATGCTCACTCTTTGTTTCCTCATGGAACGCACAAACGTCCGACCATAGTGCATGGGCGTCCTTGTGGTTCCATACGCGATTAAACACATCTTTGCAAAGGCCTCTAAAGATGGTGTTTCGAGCCTTTGCATTCTATTTCTCGTAATTCACCTCATCGCCTTGTAGGTGTGTGGCATCCTGAGGTTTTGGGAAGCCTTGTGAGGTGGCTCTAAGTATACCAACATCTAGAGCTTCTAAATACGCCTCCATGCGGATTTTTCAATATAGAAAATCATCCCCCTCAAAGATAGGAGGAGGTCCATCCCCGTGAGACATCTTTCTCTAAGCGGTTAAGCCTAAATATATGAGCACGAGGCTCCGATACCAATTGAAAGGATCAAGATGCCCAAGAGGGAGGGTGAATTGGGCTAATTCTAAATTTTTTTGCAATAATTAAGTCTTACGGTTAGCCCAATTAACCCCTTGTGCCTAAAAAGTGTTTCTATTGATCTACCGCACAAAAGTTTAGCAACATATGTTCCAATCCTACTCTAGCATGACAATTCTATAAATGTAAATGACAAGAATTGAATTGCTCAAAGTAAAGAGAGAACGAGGAACGTGGCGATGTTTTACCGAGGTATCGAAGAGTCGCCACTCCCTACTAGTCCTCGTTGGAGCACCCGCACAAGGGTATAGCTCCCCCTTGATCCGCGCAAGGATCAAGTGCTCTCTACGGGTTGATTCTTTGACACTCCGTCACGGTGAATCACCCACAACCGCTCACAACTTGAGTTGGATCATCCACAAGCTCCACCGGATGATCACCAAGCTCCCAATCATCACCAAGCCATCTAGGTGATGGCGATCACCAAGAGTAATAAGCACGAACTCTCACTTGACCACGACAAGCCTAATGAGAAGGGTGGATACATACTTTGCTACTCTTGCTTTCACTAATGAGGGCTCTCTTTGGGATTCTCAAATCCCAATCACCTCATTAGGACCTTGCTCTTCTTGGCACTCTCAAGGGTGTTTCTCAGCTGTTGGAATGAGCAAAAGTATCCCCTCACACGAATGGAGGAAGTATTTATACACCTGGTTGAAAAACGAACCGTTATGTGCCTCTGCGGGGTGACCGAACGCTCCGATCTGTTCACCCCGACCTCCAGTGTTTAAGTTGTGACCGGACGCGTCCGGTCGTGATTTTCCCTCTCTGGAACCTTACTGAAGTCGACCGTATGCTGGCACCCAGCGTCCGGTCGCTCACCTCTCAGCGTCCGGTCGCACCAGACGAAATCACCTTGATCAAATAAACTGACCGGACTCTGCGCCAGCGTTCGGTCACACCGGAACAAGCGTCCAGTCAGCATTTGACCCTCCATTCACTTCTAACTCTCAATCATATGTGAATGAAGTTTGTTCCAATTGATCTAAGGGCTTTTTAGAAGCTACCTAGTGCTAGTTTTAGCAAGTGTGCACCACACCTAACCCAATAGACCCACCTAGGTCAAACTACTCGTCCATACCCCCCTTAATAGTACGGCCAAAGAAAAAAAACAAAGTCATAAACTACTCTAAGTGTCTTTTCAATACCAAACGACACTTAGAACTAGTCCATCCTTAACCTTGTCGACCATCCTTTGAAAACCGAAATGATTTCCATGGTAGGGGCATGACAACCATGATTGCCCAATCGATCTCCATTACTATGACCTAACTTAATTGCCTCTGCAAAACACACGTTAGTCATAGTAATCACGTATTGTCATTAATCACCGAAACCCAACTAAGGGCCTAGATGCTTTCATTGGCTACAAACAAAATATTGCAAACATCATGTTAAAAATAAAATATTGCAAACTTGAATTATCACGACATTATTTTTTGTTCCTGTTGTAACTCACATGCATAAATTCAATAACACTAAGATTTAGTAAGTCAAAAATATGGCTCAACTACTGAGATGTCAAAATAGTGATGTTATTGTACTGATTGTAGTGATATGCAACTTGATTTATTATCACTTTATGACTGTAGTGATATACTGATATGCAACGCAAGGGACAAACTCATAAAATTAGCAAGACAGGCTAAGATGGCTTTGCAAAACTTCAATTGAGGTGTTTTCACTCCAATACCTGTACTCCTTTTTTTTCCTTAAAAAAAGTGACATGAGCTTGGTCAAACGCAAACAAATCTGCGTCTCAACAACGAACCTCATGAAGCACAAACCACATTCCAAAATCCGAGCCCAAACCCAACACAACTCCGTGTCTGGCCCCGACGGTTGAGCCCAAATACTTATGACCGACTACTAAGCCCATGGTCCAACGCCATCTCCTCCTCCGCTCCGACGCGCCCGACCCACCACCACATCCCGCATGGCTGCGCTCGCCGACGTCGACTCCTCGCCACCTCCGCCGTGCAAGTCATCCAAAGGCAAGGCAAAGATGGACGACGAGGCGGAGGCGGAGGGCGCGGAGAAGATGTGCGGTATCTGCTACGTCGACGGCCGGCGGGCCATCCGCGGCGAGCTGGACTGCTGCGCCCATTTCTTTTGCTTCGTCTGCATCATGGCCTGGTCCCGCGTTGAGTCCCGCTGCCCCTTCTGCAAGGCCCGCTTCCGCACCATCCGCCGCCCGCCCGTCGCCGGCCGGTTCCCCGACGAGCGAATCGTCTCCGTCCCCGAGCGCAACCAGGTATGCAGCTTGGTACCCTTAAACTAATCTAATCTAATCTAATCTAATCCCCGGACCTATCGGATCTCCGTAGCTGCGCCTGTGTAGTAGAAATCCTCGTGTCCATGACTGCGAATTCCAGCAAATTTGCCATTGATTACTCCGTACTGTATGGTATTCCGCTGCCCTGCAAATATGTCATGTCAGGACGCCATGAATTCTCCGCCGGACAATACTGACGTGCTGTGTTGGCTGCGCAGGTATACAATCCTCAGGGAAACGGGAGCAGCACAGTGGGCGGAGACCCTTACGTGAACACCATATGCACCGTTTGCAGCAGCTCCAGCGACGACGAGCTCCTGCTACTCTGCGAGCTCTGCGACTCAGCTGCGCACACTTACTGCGTCGGGCTGGGGACAACCGTGCCGGAGGGGGACTGGTTCTGCAAGGACTGCGGGACGATCAGAGATGATCAGTTGAGATGGCAGGCTGAGAATCAGGGTGAATTTGAGATCGGCATCGATGTTCCGGATGCTGAGCCAGTTCCAGACCCCTTGGTTTCTGGTGTTGTGGATGAGGAGCATGATCTGGAAAGGACAGATGCGCGGAGTGGTGGCGGCTCGATGGGTGACCCAGTTCCTTCCATTTATGACATTGTGGATGATGATTTTGCTGCCATTGCTGGGATCTCTAGGAGGAGGGTTCCTGAGGATATTCGACCCCAGGGTACTTCAGCTGGATCTCAGTGTCCCAGATCGACCCAGGGACGAGACAATGGTCTTGCAGCCTATCATGCTTGCATTCGCCTTGAAGTTGAGAGAGCTAGAACATTGCGCAATTCTCGCAATCTTGATAAGCGCATAAGGGAGCTGCGGGAGAACTGGGCTGCTCTGCGTGATGGTTCTGTGGGGTTTGCTCCGCATATGCCTGGCAGAAGAAAGAAGGATATGGCTGGTTCTGCTTCCGTTGCTACTGAGCATCAGCGTTATGCAGAGCCTGTAACTCCCAGTTCTCGAAATGGCGCCACTGCAGCTTCTGTTCCGCTGCGAACGCCCTTATCTGAGGAAACTCGTGATGCCCGTAAGGCATGGAAAAGGTTGGAGATGGCAAAATCATCTGGTGGGAGGAAGATATCTAACACACCTGCCTCCCTTAACTGCAGTCCCATATTTTCCATGGGGAACAGATCGACTTCTTACAGTCCAATTGATACAATTGTGGGACACGAGAACGTGAATCTGCCTAATAAGTCTTGTGAACAAAATTATTCAATCTGTGGTCATGGTACAAAAGTGGAACATACGCCACCTGCGGATAACTCTAGAGGATGCCATAGCTTGCCTGAGAACAGTCGTGCCTCGGTTCATGAGAGGATGGTTTCTTTTCAGAATCGAATAAATCAGGAAAGCCTTAATGACAAAGTTGCCTCGTCAACCCACAATCGGCATGTTGATCAATCATTAGTATCTTCCTGTAGCACACACAGATCAGAAAAACTCAAATCAGACATACTGCATCCACAAAAGTACAGTTCATCATCTGGCCAGTCAGCTGTGACTTCATCCTTACAGTTAGGACCTAGTGTTGGATCTGGGAGCCAATCCACTATGATGGCAAACCCTGAGGAATCTTCAGCTGTTTGTGTTGAAGGTAGTGCTGCAACCATTGAAGTTAGGAAAAGTTCTAGTCCAGACCAGCATGAGCGCAAGAGAAAACACAGTTCAGAAAGATGCCATGATCAAGGATCCAAAAGGTCCAGGTCAACCTGTAAAATTGCAAAAAGTGAGATTTCTTCTTTGGCCATTCGTGAGTTGAAACTACTCAAGATAGACAAAACGCATGGTAAGAAATTCCTTTACAATTCTTATGTTCACTAACATAACATCTGTTTTGCTCACATTTTTTATTTCATAAACCACTGTTTGGTATGCAGGTTCTGACAGATTCAAGGAAGTTGCTCGGTCAGCAACACATTCCATCTTGGCTGCCTGCAGATTTGAGCATTCGCCATCACAATCCCTTGCACTCTCAAGACCTGTCTGCAAGCACAGCCCCAAAGTCAAACAACTGAACTCGTCAGCAATTAGTGATTTTTGCAGAGAATGCTTGCGTAGCTTTGTTAAAGAAGCCGTCAGTTTGGCGTTGTCTGGCAGGCCGATGGATCAAACTGGTACCTCCTGTTAGATTGTACATTGTAGACAAGTTTGGGATTCTTTCTTGTCAGGTCATTGTGAATACCTCAAAGCACAAACTAGGGACAAGTTGTACATTTTATGGCATGTTAATGCTGTTCTGCAGTGTAGTTGCTAGGTCTAATCAGTACTGTAACAACTAAAAAAATATTCTCTTTAATATGCCATGACCATGGTTGCAGTACTGGAACCGAACATTTCCCAGCTACTGAGGTGTGGTTTGTGCACCTGAGCACGGAATCGGTCTCACATCATAGTATGGTTGGGTTATAAATGTTGGCTATTAGTGGGTGGATATAAGTCTCCCGAAGGAAAAAAAACTCGATGAAAATTGCATAATTGCTGATTTCAACTGTCTTGAACCCTTGATGCTTTCTTTTGATGGTTAAACTGAAGCCTTCCACTGCTGAGGAAAGCAGACAGCTATTGTAGAGATATTGTTGCCTGTCTGAATCCAAGCATTATCTAAAATGTTTAAACAAGTTGTTGCCCAACTTGTTATGTTTATCTATTTTTCATGAATCGTTTATTATGTAAGAGTAAGAAACAATTGTGTTATAACAAATGTTGTAAATAGCGGGAATTTAGTGGGTTTTGTAAAAAATCATTAACTAATTATCCACGAAAACATTTAACTAAGAAAAATTTCATGAACATAAATACTAAAATACATGTACACATGCTCTAGGAGAACATGTCTCCACATCAATTACTTAAAAAATCACTGAATCAGTTAGTATATACTCACGGCTATGATCAACATTCATATTCATTCAACACTCAATATTCAATAGTTTAGCAATTATTTAATGGTTTATTAAAAAGAACATGATAGATAGGCATGGATTATACTCTAGAGTAAGGAGTGAACATTTGTCTTGGTGACGAGTAGCGGTGCTAAAATTTTCGCTGCTAAGCCAAATAGTGGTGTTTAACGAAATTAAAGCGGCAATAGTAGAACAACTGATAATATCATAACATTAGACCCTTGAAAAAGCTATAGTGGTGCTACATCGGGCTATTATAAGTATTCTCCATACCAAAAAGAATGTTTTCTAGTTTTGTCATAAGCTAAACCATCTTAAATTTGACCAAGTTATATAAAAAAAGTACTAATATTTATAGCACTAAATAAGTATTATTAAATTTATCATGAAATATATTCTCATAGTATACCTATTTAATCTCATAAATGTTAATATTATTTTTCTATACTTTGTTAAATTTAAGACAGTTTAATTTAGAATAAAGCTAGAACGATACTTTTTTTTTTGAACGTGTGGAATAGAGAAGATGATGATTTCTGTCATCAGCTACCAACTCAATGAAGGTCGATGACTTATGTCAGCAGAAATGATACAGAATAGCATATGTTGCACAATATATACTGACTTTTGAACAGCACTAAGCAAAGTGTGTAACCAAACATGAAATTATACTAGGAATGGTAGTTGAGCCCACAGGTGCCACACCCATCGGGGTGCGGCTCCGTGTGCCAAGCCGACTTTAGTATATTAAGTTTGCAAGGACTAGTTTGTATTTGGGAGCAATATATACTTGCTCTCTTGGTCATTGCGAGCTCTCTTGGACACTTGGGAAGCCTCGTACACTTACTAAGCATAAGTTAAGTTGAGCATCCAATCTCATTGACTTGCTCGGGTTTGCATCTTTGGAGATTCTAGTGCTAAGCTTTGAAAAATTGATCAAGTGGCACTAGATTGCTAAATTTGCAAGCAGGTTTGCTTGTTACTCTTGGAGGTTGACGCTTCCTAGACGGTATGGAGCTTGTAAACTCCATTGAAGCACTACGATGAAGATTGTATAGGTGACTTATTATGAAGGGCTCTTGTGCTCATCCCTGGCCCGCCAAAGAAGAAGGTGAAGAGCAACTCTAGTGGATAGAAAGGTACTTCCTCCATCCCAAATTGTAAGACGTTTGACTTTTTTGGCCCCAAGTTTGACTACTCGTTTTATTCAAAAAAAATTGTGCAAATATAGTCAAATTTAAGTCATTCTTGAAGAATTTTTATTAATAAACCAAACCACAACGAAAGAAGTGATATTTTACACAAATTTTTGATTAAGACGAGTGGTTAAACTTGGTGTCAAAAAAGTCAAACGTCTTACAATTTGGGATGGATTAAGTAACAATTAGTTCTTTGGTTCTATCCAGTTCAAAGATCAAAAGCTCAAAGTACCGAGACAACCTTGTACAGACAAAAGCTTGATAGAGGTGCGGTGAATATTGAGCTCACCTCAACATGGATTAGCGGTGACCGGCAAGTCATCGATTCCACATGATAAATTCTTATGTCTTCATTGTGGTATTCATTGATGAGCTCACATTCAATTCATTCTTACTTTGTCTTGTTTACATTTCCTAGAATTGAACCACCTGTCATCCTATCTTTGACGTTAAAAAATCAGACGTCTAAGATTGCTGTTTTGGTCAGTTTATTTCTATAGAGTGGGATGCCCTAAAGACATTCGTGTCAAAGGTTCCTAAAATACTGGTGCATATCGTATAGCTTCCTAAAAGCTTCAGGTAAACTACGGCGGCCGGCGGCAGAAGGGAGAAGAAAAGATGAAGCAAATACGACGCCTGAAAACGCCAGATTGTAGCAGAAAACGTTGTGGCCAGTTGCCAAATGGCCGGCGGTACGCTCAACGCTATGAGTGACGAACGCCGTCCGTCCGGATGGATGGCCACTGCACACAGAAATATAATGTAGGAGTATTTAACAGCTGCCAAATGCCAAATCAGCAGATCCAAAGTCCATACTTTGGCGGTACTGCACCATGCCACCGTACCAATTACCAGCGGATGAGGCGCCACTGCACTGCACACTAGCACCGCCTGTTTGGTGTGGTCTAATTAACACTCTAACCGCGTGCCTTTACTGCCGAGGGGTACCGAAGGTGCTCCTAAACTTCAGTCGCTGTCACATCGAATATTTAGACACATACATGAAATATTAAATATAGATTAATTACGAAACTAAATACATAATTTACGACTAATTTGCGAGACGAATCTTTTAAGCCTAATTAGTCTATGATTTAACAACGTGATGCTACCGTAAACATGTGCTAATGACGGATTAATTAGGCTTAATAAATTCGTCTCGTGGATTACTGACGGATTCTGTAATTTATTTTTTTATTGGTATCCGAACACCCCATACGACACGCCCATATGACACCTCCTAAACTTTAGTCATCGGATCCAAACACCCTCTTACACAATACTACAGTACTTTGCGTACAGTACTTTGCGTACTGGACTAGTACAGCTGTAGAAGCATCAAACACCAAATGGAATTGTTGTAAACAAAAAGAAAACACCAAATGGAAGGCATATATAATATAAAAAAATGCAGGCATGGAGCTCACTGAAAAAAAAAACGGGTACATAATTGGCTAGTGGAACAAGCACACTGAAACAAATTAATGGACGGAGCAGAAAGAAAATGAAAAGAAAACGAGGAACATCCAAGTTAGTCAGCGCACTATGAAAAATTTGCTTACCGTACCAAGATTGCACACATTTGAACCTTACATACACATCTTTAGCTTGTTCGGATGGTCTGCAGCACAGTGTTTTTTGAATTTTTTTAGATGATTGAATAGTATTCTATTTAGACATATGAATTTTATAGAAACCAGTTCAATTCTACGGGAAAAATGCATGCATGCACGAATAGGGTAAAATTCTCGCGGTTTAAACAAGCCAAATAGTGTACTGTAAGTGAACAACTGTTTTTCAATCCATTTTTTCTTTTACAAAGGCGATATGGCTGTGCTTTTTCATTTGGGAAGGGGCCAGGCACAGCCGCGCACCGCACAGCAACAGCATGATCACGAGGGGATGTATCAGTATACATGCCCGAGCACGACTCATGTGCACATACATGGCAATTGACAGGGTCTCGTCTCAACAACACGGTCACCCAGTCTCACAATCAGGACCCATCCATGCGGCGTGGATTCTCTAACGTGAGGAACAAAAGTCACGGGTGACTTTCCCCTTTCCCGATACCGTCCATTTACAATCCAACTGCCCTGGTGACCCTTCAGCTTTCACAGTGCCATGCTTGCCTAGCACAGACATAAAATAGTAGCCCAGTTCGACAGTTCGCGGACAGAGGAGGGAGAACACTTGTTTCATCGTATGAACGTGGTTTAGGTGAGGAAAAACTGATTTTTCTATTTTTCTATTCTCTTACAAAATTCGTTTCTTTTGCAAAAAAAATCCAAACAAAAATAGCAAAACTATAATATTGCTGCCGATTGAACTAACTCGAAGCACTTACTGCTGTTAGGAATTTAGGCATTTTTATGTTTAATTTAATCCAGAAAAGTAGCAGTAAATTCATGACAACAAATGTGCACGTGTGAACTACTAGTGCCAAGTACGATGAATAAGAGCATAAAAACCTTACTGAACATAGAGACTGAACATAGAGACAGTAAGATTAGAAGTATACCCAGCAGAGGGACCCATGCTCAAGGCACCGGCGGCTACACGTGCACTACTCGACATAGTGCGTTGCTCGATGTCGCGGACCACAGTCGATGCAGGATGATGTTTACAGTGCAGTCTCTCGAGGTGGCTTCAAACAAAAATGATGTGAACTGTATTTGTACCTAAACGCAAATTTTTGGTATGGATTTATTTTGCAAAAAATTGAATTTAAAAAAATATGAAAATCTGGAAAAAAAAATCCGTCATTGGTCTACAGTCTCACTTCATTTGATTGGTGGATATTATTTATTAGCATGGAACTATTAAAAATGTTTACGTGAAATTGTTGTTCAGTTCTGCGCTAAAATAAATGGTACGTACACTTTAGTATCTCTGTTACCTCTCTTTATTATTGTCTCTGTGAATTGGGTCTTATTGGGCTGCCAGAGAAAGCTAAATGGTCACTAGAGCCGCTGGATTCTAAATGGATGGCATCGGGTGGGGGGAAAGTCAGCCGTGACTTTTGTCCCTCACGTTAGAGAATCCACGCCCCCATCCATGAACCTTCGTCAGAATCTAAACAAAGCCAGGAAAGATACAGACAGACGCCAAGGAGGAACAGAGGGAGAGAGAGGTCGACAGAAATCAATTTTCCCTTTTCCCGGTCTCGCGCGCAAGCCTCGCCATGGATATCTGCACCAGTTGCTTTCGAGCCAGATATTAGAGAGAGGTGCGTGCTTGCGTCGCGCGGAGAGTGGGTTGGACTGCGTCTACTACCAAACAGAAACGGAAGACGCCTCTTTTTCCACGCGCCAGTCCGCTCTGAACCGGTGAACCCATTCCTCCTCCTCTTCCTACTCCGCCACGAATAGGAGGAGGCTCAATCAATCTCGTCCTGCTCTCCTCTTCGATCCGTCGTCGTCGGTTCCTGAGATCAGCATCGACGAGCAGGATTGTCCGAGGTACGGTACGGCGCACACTTTGCTGCCAAGCTTCTCTTTTTGAGGCGCAATTCCGCAGTTTTACCGCGGAGCTGCTGTGCAGGATTGCTTCGATCTTGGCGCATGCTGCTACTCAATTCCAGCGCAAGATCGCGTCTTACCGCGTGACGCCGCGCAGGGTCGCTCTCTTCACAAGTGTTCCAGCGCAAGGTTGCTGCTTCCTGACGCGTTCTGCTGCTCCCATGGCATGGCAGGAGCAGGAGAAGGCGCCTAGGAGGTTGGTTCCTGCTCCCGGGCGTGACCTCGCACGGCATGGTCGTTGCTTCGCCGGGGAGGAGGCACCGGGAGGCGCACGGCAGCGGGGATGGTCGATAGGAGCAGCAGGGCCGTGCTCATCGGGGTCACCGCCGGCGTCGCGGCCGCGCTGCTCGCGGCGGCGGGTGTGCTCCTGGCCATCTGGCTCTACCGCCGGCGGGCCAGCGTCGCCACCGCACGGACGCGGTCCCTCGAGTCGCCCTCGGCCACGCTGCGGGCCGACGGCGCCGGATGCGCCAGCCTCGACTCCAGCGTCTCCGTCTCCGTGGTCTCCGAGAGCGTCGCCGACTGGGGCCACCCGCCACCGCCCAAACGCGCCGCGTTCTGGGCCTGGAGAGGAGGCGGCGCCGGCCACAACGGCAGGGAGCCGCCGCCGCTGTCCGTCTCCGGGATCCCAAAATACCATTACAAGTACGTTCTACACTTCTTCTATTCCATAGATATCTGGAACACGGAAACTTTTCCTCAATCTTATCTTAGTTGAATTGAACTGTTCTGTGTGACCTGTGAAATTACTGCCTTTAATTGGGTCCATGGCTGTGATTCTGTGGAAAGGTCTCTCATATATTCCGATCAGATCATGAGGTGCAGTGTAAATATCATTTTCTGAATTGTTCCATCATGTTGCTGGTGGTTCCTGCTCAGGGATCTGCAGAAGGCTACCAGCAACTTTACCACAATTCTGGGGCAAGGATCGTTCGGTCCTGTGTACAGAGCTGTAATGGCCACCGGTGAAGTGGTAGCTGTAAAGGTGCTCGCGAGTGATTCAAGGCAAGGGGAAAGAGAGTTCCAGACTGAGGTATTGCAATCTTTTTCGGGTGCACCATTTTTCGGTTTTTGTTCTAAGCAATTTATCTGTATTGGTTGATGTGATGGATTTACTAGGACACCTGCACTTTATTCAGCGAATCCTATATATTATTTGTACCTTAGGGAACAACTATTCCTGGAAATTATAGGTTATTTGTACCTTAGGAAACAACTATTCCTGGAAATTACTCCGTCTGCCTAAAAAATGCAATTCTAGAACATAGTATGTTAAACTATGTTAAGTTTGACTAAATTTAAATAAAAAGTTACTAATATTTATCGTACTAAGTAGGTATCATTAGATTCATCACGAAATATATTTTCATAATATACTTATTTGGCGTCTTAAACATTAATATTTCGAGCCATATATTTTATTAAACTCTAGGGGCTATAACCGAGAATGCATCTAGAATTGCACTCTTTTTGGGACGGAGGTAGTAGCCCATATGATCCTGTCTGCATATTGCTGCCACTGCACTCTAGTGACATAGTATGGTGCAAAATGGCAGATGAGAAATGAGCACATTCATGTTAGTTAAAAAAGAAAGAAAGAAATGAGCACATTCACCAAAAAAAATTAACTTTTGCGAGTCTAGAGAGAAGCAGAAATACAACAAGACGGGTATCCTGGTGTTTGTTTTGACTGTTACTTTTTTTTTCTTAGACACAAAGTAATTATGTTCTTGAATGATGGTCTAGCAAAAAAAGAGTTATTCAATGATGGGGCACACTTTGCCTGGAAAAAGTATGAAACATCCAAAGGAAAAAGAAAGGATTAAAAAAAATGCTGTGGGTAAAGTATGCCCAACCTGCAATACCTATGTGAAGTAGTTTGCTATGGACATTTGACTCTAATAAACTGATCAAAGTGCAATCATGGCTACATCTTGTTTGCAGGTAGCATTGCTTAGCAGGCTGCATCATAGGAATCTTGTTAATTTGGTTGGGTATTGTGTGGAAAAAGGGCAGCGCATTCTGATTTATGAGTACATGAGCAATGGGAGTTTGGCAAGACTTTTATATGGTATGGGAGACAATTTCTCTATTTTCCTGAGGCGAAGCACAGAACAAAGGAACATGATGAAATGATTTGCATATTAGTTATACACAGAGCACATAGTGTGTCAGTGAACTTCAAAGGTTCTAAACAAATTGTTTCATCATTTGGAGGGCATGCCCTTAATTACTTTCGTATCATGTCATATCAGGTGACAATAAACGGAGTTTGACCTGGCAAGAAAGGCTGCAAATTGCTCATGATATCTCTCATGGAATTGAGTATCTGCATGAAGGGGTACGCTAACAGTTGATAATTATTAGGGTGTGTATTCTGCAAATAATGGGAATTGATGAAAGCTATGGTTATGTTTCATGAGTGCAGGCTGTTCCACCTGTTATTCACAGGGACCTAAAGTCTGATAATATACTTTTGGACCATTCGATGAGGGCCAAGGTTAGACATGACATACTTCATATTGATCATTGTAACTGCTCCATATGCACTTTTTAGGTATTATCGTGCAGCTGTCTGTTGTTTCAACTTAACCAATACTAGCTCATGATGAGTGTAAAGTTCATTGATCAACTCAGTCTGGATATATGCAACTAAAAGCAGGATTTTGTTGATGAGACAAAATACTTAGCCTGAAACTAATCTACTAGTACATTGTAATCCATCTTTTTTCTTGGTGGGTGCAGGTTGCAGACTTTGGTCTATCAAAGGAGGAAGTGTATGATGGAAGTAAGTCTGGCCTCAAGGGCACCTATGGATATATGGATCCTGATTACATGTCCACAAATAAGTTAACAAAGAAGAGTGATGTGTACAGTTTCGGCATAATACTTTTTGAACTGATAACAGCCATAAATCCGCAACAAGGTCTAATGGAGTACATTAATCTGGTAAGTTATTTTAACTTTACTGGAACTCCATACAGAATTAGAAGAAAAAAGCCCTTTTCCCACTTATTCAATAGGCATTATTACTCAATGCTAGCAGGTTGGTCACTTATTGTATATTTGAGTACCTGTTTTGCTTGTTCACAAGTTAGAGCTCCACTTTTGGGTCATGCACATCAGACCAGTGCCCTAGCTGAGACATTAGTCTCACATGAGCTCTGTACTGGAGCACACGCACGAGCTATGCACACTACTACAGTCCAATTAGCGCTCTACTGCACTGTGAAGCATGATGTTAGGTCACAACCTTGTTACTATCATATTGCTGTAAGATAAAGAAGCCTCATAAAACCAGTCTGTGAGCAAAAGTGTCATCGGTAGTGTTGTGGAGTACTTATACTATGCATGACTCGTTTCAGGCAGCAATTGGAGGGGAGGGAAGGGTTGATTGGGAGGAGATACTGGATAAGGACCTCCTAGTAGGGAACATCCCTGAAGAGGTCCGGATGTTTGCTGATGTTGCCTACCGATGCGTTAACAAGAGTCCAAGGAAGCGCCCCTGGATATCAGAGGTCACGCAGGCCATCTCAAGGCTCAGGCAGTGCCAGCTGACAAAGTATGATGCGCTAACTCTGCCAAGGAGTGAGACCAGGACCGTCCTTAGGAGGATAGAGTACCAGCATGTGGAGCTTAGTGACCTCACCAGCATGAAAGAACTTACGCCGATAAGGGTATCATGAACTTATGAGCTTGTTCTAGTATGTATGTTGCTGAGTTAGATTTTAACTTGATAGAAAAAACGTATCAAAATGTAAAGAGGGTTGAACTTGGTTCGACCTTGTTGTAGCTGTTTGATGAAAGCATCAGGTAGTTACTAGATCGTTAAAGATGTCTTGGCTGCCATGAGAGGTCTCGTTACCAAGAGTTCTGTACTGACCTGAGGTTTGAAATCGTTGTAAAAAATCAACAGTAGTAGTTGTAGCATTTGACAAGACAATGGCATCCACCATGGATAGATTACAGATTTACAGGAAATCAACAAGAAAAAAAATGTTTATAAAACAACTGTAGTTCATGCGTTTCAAAAAAAACACCGAAAGAACTGGATGCTTTAAACCACTGAAAGAATCTGCTGTCAATTTCCGCACCATTCCATCAGTCACTGTTATTCTTGGACTGTTCTTTCTTACATTTCCAGTCAGCCCGTGTTTAGTTCCAAAAGAACTTCAAAAAAAGTGCTATGTAGCTATCACATCGAATCTTGTGATACGTGCGTGGAGCATTAAATGTAGACGAAAAAAAAACTAATTGTACAGTTTGATTAGAAATCACGAAACGAACGTTTTGAGCCTAATTAATCCATGATTGAACACTAATTACTAAATAAAAACAAAAATACTACGATAGCCAAATTCCAAAATTCCAACCAACTAAACACGGGCTCAGTTGCGCGATAGCAAATGTACCTCGGAATATACTACAGGATGGCTTTAAGTTTCCCAACACTTTTCTGGACTTCTGTCGCATTTATTCTGGTCGTAGTACATACTAGTATTATGAGAATTGAATTCACACCTAAAGACTGCAAGATAGACTGAGCACATTAAACTGCAGGATGGCTTTAATTTCACAGATGCATGCAGACACTGGATTTTAACCATGGCCATGTGAACAAGAAAACGAATACTCAGTCACAGTAGGGCGAAGAGTTAAATGCCGCCACAAAGGATCATCCTGTTGGCCTGACTTATAAGCCGTCCTTTTCCAGTCAACGAACAGCCATGGCTTATCAGCCAAGCGAACAGGCATAAATTACATGACTTATACTGAACATGCCAATCGCAACACAACAAAATGATTGTAAGTTGACCTTTAGCGTTCATCTGCCACAATGTTTAATTACAACATTAGAAACTTTCTGCTGAATGTTTATTTGAATAAAACTTTTGAATGCATATCATAAGTGGAAGAGTTGGGCGGCCAGAAACAGGCAGACATTGCATCCCAACTTCTTTCAAGCAACTCATGTCTAGCAGCCTAGCTAGAAAAGGGGAAGAAAAAGGAAAAAAAAATATTTACAGAGCAAGGCCATCATGGGCCCCGTTCACCTGCCCTTAGAATCTGCCGGAATTCACTGTTCACGGTGAAAATACTGTTCACTCTCTCCCAAATTCCTCCAGATTTCTCCAAATTCCTCCCAGCGAACAGGGCCATATCAGCATGGACCTCAGGTTCAGGCGCTCAATCACTCAAATCCTGTTGCAAATTGCAATCCTGTGAAGGATGGCTTTATTCGGGAACTGCAGAACTCAACACATGCATGAAAGCCACAGCCGAACAGGTGCTCACCTCCCTACTCCTGTGCTAACTCAAAACTGGCAAGAAGTGCCAAGCCTCTGCTTTGCCCTTTGCGCTGTGACACTGCACTCGTGGGAACGGAATGTCTCAGGCAGGAGCTCCTGGAACTTCTCGAGGAACAGGCCCCACGTCTCAGTTTTCATGTCAGCCAGCTTGACGAAGCTCACACTTGTAGGGAGCATATCGTTTGCACTTCCCCAGTTACAAAGTTGAGAGCCACTGTCATTGCTGTTGCTCTTAGAAGTATTCACAGGATCCACAAACTTAGGACCAGCAGACAGTTGACGCTGGGTTTTGTCTGTTAGATTGACATCCTTCAGTGAGGTTGACAGCTTTGAAATGTTAGCAAGCCACTTATTGACAGGCTTAGGGCAAGCTAACTTTCCAGCATCGCTTTCTACCTCCTCAGTATCATCTTCCTCTTCTTCCTCCTCTTCTTCTTCATCGGCTTCATCCAATTTGGACAGTGGGTTTCTGGAGTTTCTTGTCTTAAATTCAAACTGGTGGGCTGATGGTTCTTTTAGCATTTCATGATCTTCGCTGTCAAGTTCAAACTGAGTTAAATCCTCCTCACCAGAGTCATGTTCTGTGGTACTGTCTTCTTGCTCTGCTGCTAGCCTCCTTGCCTCCATGCAGACAAACTCTAGCTCACTTGGCTGATCTTCCATCCCAGTAAATTCCCTGCTCATCATCTCCCCAATCTCTGCAAGGCACAGACCAAATGCTGTGGCTTCTTTTAGAAATATGGTTGAGAGTATTAGTACTCTCAGGCATGCTTCACGGATCATAGGCAACTCCATCCGCAGCATGTCAGCATCTTTCACTGGATCAAGATTTGCAATGTACTCAAGCTCATCCTCGGAGAATGGGACTGATGCCTGAGGCCAGTGGATCCATTCAAAATAAGGATCCTCCAAACACTCTGGAAGGCAGAGACCATGATCAATAGGAATAAGTTCAGTCTGATTCCCAAATTTTCCTGCTCCAGTTTGCTTCCTTACCAGAAGATTTCCAGCATGTCTATCAGTGTTGAAGATCCTGATGTCAAGAATACCAATCCTATGGACAGCAGAAACAGGAAAGCTTGAGGTGCCATGATCACTGGCATCAAAATCATGAGGAATAAACTGCTGAAATGATGCAATCTTGCTAACAGCTTGAGTGCTACCATCAGCAATATTTTTGTTAGCACAGTTGGCGCCTTCATTCATATGAAACACAGGATGAGAAATCTTAACAAGTAGCGTCGGAGGGACATTAGCAGAATTATCATGGTCCAGAAGGTAGGCAGCAACCTCTCTGAATCCAGTCTCACCAATTCGAACTGATCTTTTGAGGCCTGGCTGCCCAAGGGATTTCCCTATAAAACCTTTTGGGTTGTTGGGTGCAAAAGGCTCCTCATCATTTGGCTTCACAATTGCCGCATTCTCACCTTTGCTGTTCTTGAAATAGTAGGCACCACCAAGCCCACTTTTGATAGGTACTGGATCCACACCTTTCCTGATTGCCCTAGCAACATCCTTCACAAGCTGCCTTGCTCGAGAACAGCGGCTCGGGCATACTAACAGTTCAATTGGACAACCCTTGTCTTTTTGCTGTTGGAGATCCTTGCCTCTAGGAGACAAGCATGGTGTGGAGGAACTTCGATGCATGAAAGTCTTTGTGAGAAGCAATGGGGAATCATTTCTAATGGTGCTGAGATCATTTTTCAGAACACGATCGCCTAATGTCAGTGACCTCTCATCAGTGGGAAAGTTTAGGGCCACCTGCAGCCTTCTTTTGACCGTGTGTGCATTGTCACCACGATCCAATTGAATAGCCAGGACACAACCAGTGTCAGTCTGGACAAAAACACGTTTCCATCCGCCAACCTTGGTCTCGCTTCTGCTTTTGGTAGGGTACTCGCTGCTAAGAGCTCGGTCCAAGGCTGAGACTGCCATCTGGGTCTGCACCGGGCTCTCCAAGTTGCGAGGCATGGTGGAAACTGAAAGAGGAATTGAGGCCAATGTACTAGAGGAAGTTGCCAGAATCCGGCCTTTCTTGATCCTCTCTTGTTTCCTTCTGCACCCGCCGAATTCAGCAGACGAGTGAGAGAGAGAGATGTCACAGCAGAGATCATCAGGCGACGACAGACATCTTGTACAACTAGCTAGACAGCACCATAAGTTGAAGACAGGCAGATAGCAGCAACCCTCCTACAGCAGGTAGCTGTTACTTATGAGACTGGACAAGCTTGCTTGTTGATTGTTAGATCCTGCAAGAACAGAAAGAATTAGAGGAGGTTATCATCATAATCCAAAGAAAGAAGAAACTAACAACTAACAAGACAAGAATGATTCTCCCCATGACATACAATCCACTCTAGCACCATTCCTGTTCTACATGGACTGTGAAACAGAAGATAAGGAAGCTTCCTCGTGATACACTCAAGCAGTCATGCAATCAATAAACCCCAACACTTCACATGGTTAAAGTAAGCATCCACATTTGTTAAGGAAAAGTTGACACACACAAGGAGTGGACTACCACTTTCCATATAATTGTTGACCATTAGGTGGTTTTTTAAATGTACATGTTGAAGCTATAATATGGAAGAAAGATGCATCTTCTGCAGTTGTATCATTTCAGATTCGAGCTGTCCCCTCTTCACTCTTCCACCAAAAGCAGTATAAGCACCTATGGCTTTACCCTGAACCTCTGTCACCTGATGAGATCCAGGCATGCCACTAACTTCCACACGGCAACCAAAACAAGCAACCTGGAAAACCCACATCTCAGCTCTTGCTGGTAGATGAATGGATCAGCCACCTCATCGCATCTCATCTCAGAAGGGTTAGTCAAAACTGTAAGCAATTGTCAAAGGTGGTCCTTTTACTACAGGAACGAGCTAAATCTGCACTACGGCGGTAGCTCTGCACAGGCACAAACTCTGATCGACAAAAATCCGCTTCTGCTAAAAGCAGATGAAGAAGAAAACGCCTAATGGTATGGCGTCAAGAGGTAGAAGACTAAGCTACCATTGATTCACCATGCTGTGCAATCGGGCATCCAAGTTGAGAGCTTAGTGAATGAAGCAACATAACAAAAGGAAACAATTGTTCTGGAAGCTACTCGAAATGGAGCAGTGCTGCATCTATGTGCAATAAAGCATAGTTATTTCCTGCTAAATATGCCACCTTTTGCTCTCCCGGCTATTAAAAACAAACCAAAAATGGGAAGAAAAATACATAGACTCGGCAGATTTGGTGAAATGAACACCAGCGGAAACGGACAACCCCAGGAAAGTCGAGGAGGAGTCCCCACCCGTACCTGATCCAATGCGGAGCCCAGGGATTGGTGGATTGCGCCGTCGGAGTCGCAGATCTGGCACTGCTCCGGCGCCGCCGCTGCCGCACTCCGAGAAGGCAGCACCACCAGTCCCTGTCCGACGGCCGGGCGCCGCGCCACCAACTCTCGGTTGCTGGCACCACGGCCCCACCTCCCGGCGCCCCCACTGGCCGCCTCTGCTTCCCAGCTCCCACCCACGCTTGTTCAATCGTTCCTGGTGTCTGCGCTGTGTGTTCGTGCGCAGGGACAGGGGTGGTGAGCCTCAAGTAGGGGTGACCGGGTGAGGTATGGGTTCGACGGGCCCGTTCACTTCGCTGAAAAAGCAATTCGAAATACCGTTCCGGCTGATTTGATCGGGTGAGAAATGGGTTAGACTGGCCCATTTGCTTCGCTGAAAAAGCAATTTGAAATACCGTTCGGGTTAATTTGTTGTAAAAGAAAAATATTGTTTCGGTTGAAAAAATAAGTTGAAAAAGAAGGATTATAAAAAAAGTGAACAGGGCCATCTCCAACAATAACACCCAAAATATAAGACCCATTCAACGTTTGGGTAGCGCTACGGGTCAAATGGTTCAATACCCATTTGACATCCTCTCCAACAACAGGACCCAAAAAAGAATCCTTTCTGCAAATGAGTTTTCAGGAGAGAGAATACTCATATTTGGGTTGTGCCTCTCAGAGAACCAAAAATGAATCTCCTGTATAGATACTCTGTTGGAGGCTGATTTTATGTCTCCTGCTACCCATTTTGAGCTTAGGTGTCCATATGGGTCACATATTGGAGACCGTCTTAGAGATGGGTTAAGGGAGGTGGGTTAACAAATATCCATGGTTAGGGAGAGAGGTGAGTTCAGCGTGAGGGGATTGGTCGAGGTAACAGCAGTCTCTGCTTTCTCCTTTTGCACTTACGACCATCTAAATTCCCTATAATTTCGTTCAGGTCTCGGTATTGCTGCAGCATTTTCTAGTCCTAGAAATAAAAAAGTTGGACCATCTAATAACTATCTAAGGAGGGACCGTATATTTGCTTAGAGGACCTTAAGTTGGTTACTATAGTTACATGAAAATTGGTCAAATGTGTAAACATTAGAAATGTTTTCATTGGGTGTTGTTTGCTTCGCTAATTCGGAGAGTGATGTGGATTCTTAACCACAGTAAGTGATTAGTGGATCGATCGATGGGTTCATGTGTGAGACTCCGTTGGTTTAGCACTCGAGACACAAAGGGTTTATCCTAGTTCTGGCGTCTAAACCCTACGTCCAGCAGCGAGTTCTTCATGTTAAAATACTCAAGCGAGTTCTTACACCAAAGGAGAAATGGTAGGAGAGCGCTACTAATCTAGGGTTTTTTTTGGGATTCGTCCCCTCTATGGGAGCCTTTGTCTTGCCTTATATTTCGGAGGGCGAGAGGAATACAAGGAGCATGGGTTCTAGAAGCTCCCTTGGCCAACAAGGGGTGCTAGGGTTTCGCATCCCTTCAGGGCGTTAGACAGCGTTAAATCGTCCCTGCATGAGCTGGAGCTGACCGTCAAAGCCCAGAGAAAGTCGTTGTATCTCACCTAAGTTCATCCTCTTCCATGGTGTCCGTGGTACGCCAAAGGAGTGGGCGCTAGCGGAGCATCCATGCGCAGCAGTAGTGTAGCCAGGGGCGTACGTTAGTGTTGGCTCCCAAGCAAAAACCAGGTTCCCTGCACACAGGAAGTCGTCAGGGAACCGTATGTACGAGTACGATACGCCGGCCGGTGTCCCGGCGGCGTTTCAGCACGCATTTGATGCTCCACGTCAAGCGTGTCCAACCCATGCCGTGCCGGTTTCCTTATCAAGGGATAATAAGAAGAGATAAGGCTCATGATGTGGTTTGGGCTAGCTTCTCCTTTGGTACGTTCACGGCAGCAAATTGCGAGTGCAAACGTGCGTGCATGCAACGCTCCATGGTGTGACACACACATATACGTACCTTGCGATTTTTTGTTGTAAGTTTGTGACAAAGTTAGCTTCTTTTCTGTTGGTCTGTTTCGTCTTTATTATACTCCTTTCTTGCCGTGGTGAATCATCACTGCATGTTAGCTTCGGTTTTGTTTGTAGTGTCCTTCTGATTACCTTTTTCCGGCTTATATATACACTGTATGGTGCTAGAGCGTGTGCGTATGACGTGTGTAATTCACTCGATCAGGTCATGAGCAATATGTGTGTTCAGGATGTTTGTCTGCACGCATGCCAAGTGGTAGCCAGCACACGTTGGATTGGAAAGCAAAAGCTGGCTGACGGGCATCATATACTTCCTGCACTTTCGCACAGGCTTACGCATGCAAAGTAATACTAGACAAATAAAGTAATAAAGTACCCCTAGTTACCACTCCTTCCCAAAGCTTCTTTGTTCTCACTTCTATACTCTCTCTCTCTCTCTCTCTCTCTCTCTCTCTCTCTCTCTCTCTATATATATATATATATATATATATATATATATATATATATATATATATATATATATATATATATATAAGTTATTTTGTAGCCACTTTCATTTACGATAATTTTATATACTAATTTACGATAATGTCAATACATATTTACGATAGTTGGGTTATTATAACACATAGGGATATTTATCATAACGTTATAGTAAACCACTTAGTAAAGAGTTACTATAATCTCGTAAATTAATATAGTAATTATCGTAACTCAAAATGGCTATAGAATAAGTTATTTTGTAGCTGGTTATAGAGTGGTAGTTTATATATATATATATATATATATGCAGTGCCTGCACCTTGTAGCGACAGCGCTACACAGGATTTGTAGGCTAAAAGACGACGATGCGACGGTCCTAGGCAGGCTCTCCGCGTTGCTGTGTCGCCGTCGAGTCCAGCGGCTTTATTCTAGACTAGATAGATAGGGAGCCGAGGAAAGATGCAAAAGCGCACGAGAGAAAACGACATGGCCGATCGAGTTGCGGCCGGGGATTCATCGATGCTCGACGGCGAGTGCACGGGCTATATCGCGCGCAATGGTGTCGGAAGGAGCATGGAAGAAGAACCTCGGCTGGCCGGATGAGCCTCTCTCGCTCCGTCGCTTTATTTTATTTTCCAGCTCAGACTGACAACGATCGGTCCATCGGTTTCGTGCCATTGCCATCCTTCCTTTGCTCTCTACCAATGACCGAGTGATTTTTTTTTTGAAAATTTACCAAGTGATTGGTACGTACTCCTATATATGCTTCCATGTAGAGCTAGCGACGCTACGCGCACAGAAAACAGTACACTAGTTATAATTACAAAAATGCTATACAACATACGAGTAGTTTTTTAGCAATCCAACACTCGATTATTTCCCCTTCACTTCTCTTCCTCTCTCCCTCTTCTTCTTCAACTCCGGCGGGCTTAGAAGGGACTCAGACGAGGCAAGTTGGCCAGGCGGTGGGCACTGCGGGAGGGCGGCGGTTAGGATTCCAACGATGATGGCGGTGAGCTGAGGGGAGGGGGAAGAGGAGGTCACCGTAGGCACGGTCTTGCTGGGAGGAGGTTACCGTGGGCACGGTAGGGTCTCGCTGAGGAGAGGATGTGTCGGGAGAAGGAAGAAGACGGTGAATAAAAAAAAATCGAGTGTTCTCGGGAGCCTAAACATCCGAGCGATGAATAGCCCGATCCTAT